TTCTGCCGTCGACTGTTCGGGAAATTCGTAACGAGTATCGAGATTATCGTCGACCCTGCGAGATCATCAGCCGCTTCTGCCCCCGGGGGCGAGGAGCTGCGACGCGTTTCGTGCCTGCGCGAATCTACGGAGACTCGAATTAAGCCGGACGATACGGCGCATCCTGTGTTGATGCACTCGACGTGTTACGCGGGAGTCTTGATCGCATTGAACATGTCTGATTCTCTCAGCATACACGTTGATTACCATGTTCCCGACCAGAGATTTGTTCCAGTAGTCTCATCAGGTTGATCCCAATCAATAGTTTGGTTACAGGGTGATATCATCGTGTCCTGATAAGTCATGTAACGTAGCGTAATAAGGGATTTTATTAATAATAAGGATTATTAATAATTCGGTCTAGATGACATTATCTTATACACGGAAAGAATGTTATAATGATAACTGTAGAACTTTACAACCGAAGAACAGATCGATATTCTGCAGTAATTGAATATTCTTTTATTTCATATGTGCTATTTATATTTCTGGATATATTTCTGAATTTTGGATTTATATTTCAGGAACTGAAATGCGTTATTAAAAAATGTACTATGTTTCCAGTGAGATTTACTACAAAACTTTTTAGCAAAATTTATCATGTTTTTTGACAAGATAAATTTTACAGTATATTTCTGTACTACTAAAGTAAAATTAGGAAGAATTTATTATGAAAAAAATGAAATCATAATATTCTCTCTGTGTACACAAGCCAGATAATAAATTGAAATCAACCTGACCAGGATAGAATAAATTTCTATCTCTATATTTATCGAATAAAATAAATTTTAATCCGATAAATTTAACATAATATTCATTTAAATTTGTATCAATAGTTATTACTTGAAGTTTATCTCAAGTAAGATATTCAAATTTCAATTCAGAATTAGATGAGAGTTTCTCATCTAATGAGAGTCACAATTACAAATATAAATGTCATATATAATACATCATAATTCAACTGAAAAACTTAGGTCTAACTTTGAATAAAAATCTGAGTATTTTACAAGAGACAAGTTTCAGAGGTGACAACTATTGATACATATCTTATATTTATATAGCGTCTTTGCTCCTTTAACGGAATTGACGTCAGTTTCCTCGGAATTCTGACAACGCGAAGAATCGTCGATTTCATCGCAACGAATTCTTTCCGCATGTGAAGTGCCAGTAGACTTATTAGGAACCCTACTAATATAGCGCATTGATTATAACTACAAAAGATTCAATGTTCCTAATCTCCTCGAACTAACAAAGACATTCGCGAGTGTGCCTTTCATCCTAACAATTAACACCAAGAACAAAAAACAAGATTCTTTCGCACTACCCAGGATTGTTCCCGAATCAACATTAGCATAAAGGAATGCGCATACGAGCCGCAACGATGAACCACTTGCATGCCGCGGGATCACATGTCCGGGTACACATGCCGGACAGTTGTCCCCAGCGGTTAGTCGTACCCAACTACCTGGCGGGCTCGTTAACGTCCACGAGAGACTCTACAGCGCCGGACACGCGGCGACACGCGTGTACACACGCATCCCGCGGCGTAATTAACGCGCGTTCTCCGAAGTGCCCTGCTCATGGCGGGGTGGCATGTATTGCATTACACACGTACAACGTGGCTCGGCATAGAAGATGCCCGACTTTGAACACGGCCATGAACGCTCATTCACTCGCTCGCTCGCGTGTCTTCGCTCGGATATGTGCGTGTTACATACCGTGTACACACGCACGCATACGCGCGTGGCACATGTGTGACAGAAACGGACGGGGCGCGAGGGCTCGACTTTGGGAGCCTCCAGGCATGTAAGACGTATAGGCTACCCGTCTTACGCATCCCGCCGCACACAGAGCATACATCACTCTACACGCGTGAACTCCACGCGCGTCTCCGCCGCCGCCAAGCCGCTTAGGCGCCTCTCGCTGCCAAGGCGTCCGTTGTTCGACGGGCTCTCTCTCTCTCTCTCTCTCTCTCTCTCTCTCTCTCTCTCTCTCTCTCTCTCTCTCTCTCTC